TCACAGCAGCTCAACTGGCATTATAAAAAGGATTATGATTCAACGGTACTACACTCCAGAACTGCTTTGCAATGTCTATCCAGTCACTAATAATTCATATTGGAGGTGCTCTTCAGCCTTGGGCTCTTTCTATCATAAAATGTGACCTTGTACAGGAATCTTCTCCTTCTGGTGTGAGGTTAATGCTCTTCTTTTTAGCAGCCTGGCTTCTCCACACCCATTGATCTGCCTTCCTATATGCTTGGCCTCCCAATAATGAGGATTCCTAAAAAATTTTAAAGGCTTTTTGGCCACATGCTGTTTGACATCCTCAAAAAAGAGAAGTGAGAGTGATGGAGATTCTCATAGCCAATCTACTGTATTTAATACCTCTGATAAATGCCAAAAGGTCCTAGGGAATGCCTATGACCTCACGGGTAGGTCACCATGTTGGTTCAGGATTGGAGGATTCAATTCTCAACCCATTATCCTGTCCCCCTTCTTCCCACAATCCTGATGTCTCTTTTTACTTTCTTTATCTCCTATTCCTCCTCTTTGTTCACTTGCAACAACAGAATATTTCTGTGTATGCAGGTGTAAGTACCTCAAATTACTGAAACTGAGGCCCTCAGAATTGATTCATCAAAATGTCTCATTAGCCCCCCCCCCCCCACCAAAAACAATTACTGTAGCTGCTGACTTTTAAAGGACACTTACCTGTCCATGGATTCAGCAGCATCCCTACCAGGGCCAGTTATTCACCGGTCTTTGGATCCCCAGTTACCCAGCATGTTTACTTTGGGAAGCCAGCTTTGACTCCCCAAGCTTCATGTCTAGTTTCCCACTGCACATATGTGAGCCATGCTGCACTTTGCGTATGGTCCTGCAGCCTCCTGGGACCTGTGATGCATCCCAGATGTCTGCAAGCAAATGAGAAAAGGGGGGGTAACTTCAACTCGGATAACCTAGAAATGAGAGCAGGTACCTATAAAAACTAGGTACCCAATCCCCCCAAAAAAGTGTCCAACCAAAAGAGGGAGGGAGGAGGCTGAAAAGCAGGTGAAGTTATGCTTTAAAAATCCCAACAAAAAAGAAAAGCGTGTGGGACTTTTAAGGTGCTAGCATAGACCATCTTTGCTGATCCTTTGGAGAGAGTTTAATGGCAGGAAATAGAGAGAGCTGCCCCAGTTGCCAGAGTTTTTTTATCCTCCTGTTTAGCGTGGATTACTTCCTAGGGACTCATAGGATTTCACTTATTGCAGGTGGACATCTGTGGCTCTGGAACCTCCCTTCCTCAGGCTGTGCTGTTTAGTGGCTGTGGGTGTGTCTTGGTCCAGGCATTTCCATATGGCATTCGGCCATAGGCATTTCTCCTCTCTCTCTCCTGGGGTCTATTTTTTGATCTGAACAGTCATCAGTATGGTGTTTTCCCCTCTTTGAACCCCTGAAGAAGACAGCTCTGCAAAACGCATTGGGATTTATCATCATATCACCTTCCTGACTTATTGCAATGCATTTTGTTGACTTTTTGTTTATGATAGTTCCTATACAAGAAGGAAGGTGTAAAGTGGGATTCACTGTATTGGAGGGTTTACGCTGTTACTTGCTTTTATGGGAGGGTTTATACATTTAGTGTTTTATTATGTGCAATAAAATTCAATATTTTATACATCTGAAGTGTCTCAAGTATCCTATCCTGACGGTACACTAGCACCTTAAAAGTCCCACATGCTTTTCTATTTTGCTGGGATTTGTAATTTTTGGGACATAGTGCTGATGGATCATGCATACCAATTATTAAGAAATGACGATTTAAGTTAACTTAGCTTGCCATCTGTAGATATACAGGACCTGCTTTCTTGGGCTGGATATGATGGTCTGATCCAATGAAATATTATGTCCATTTTTAATTTGGTCCTCTTTCCTTTTTATCATTGAAATCATTGTTTTCTTTTTAGCATTGATATGTAATGTGTCAGTATCAGGGCTTATTTTCAGCTGGAACTTGGTGGAACTCAGGTCCAGTACCTCTGGCTCAGGCCCTCTGCTCCCTGCTCACCACTGTCACTTGTAAACACGGAAGTCTGGTTTCTGTGTTTACAAGTGACAGCTTGTCAGGATGGGGACAAAGGAGATGCAGGTGCCTGGGGTGCAGTGCAGATGCCAAAACCCCTACTAATATTATTATTATTATACAGTATTTATAAAGCGCAGATAGTTCGCTCAGCGCTGTACATTACAAAGGGGGACAGAACATGTGACAGAACAATAACAATACAATGCAAAACATGAGGGGATTGAGGGCCCTGCTCTTTCGAGCTTACAATCTAGGAGGGAGGGGATGGTGGCACAGGAGGAGATAGCTGTGGGGGATGGAGTGGTAGGAAGAGTGGAGGAGGTTGGCAAGTTAGAAGGGGGTGGGGTAGGCTTCCCTGAAGAGATGGGTTTTCATGGTGCGCCTAAAGGAGAGGAGAGTAGGTGATAATCTGATGGGTTGGGGCAGGGAGTTCCAGAGGATGGGTGACACCCTGGAGAAGTCCTGGAGGTGGGCATGGGAGGAGGAGACCAGGGAACTAGAGAGAAGGAGGTCTTGTGAGGAGCGGAGTGTGCGTGCTGGGTGGTACTTGGATATTAGGTCAGTGATGTAGTTCGGAGCAGTATGGTGGACAGCTTTGTATGCCAGTGTTAGGATTTTGAGTTTAATCCGTTGCGCAATCGGAAGCCAGTGGAGGGATTGGCAGAGGGGGGTGGCGGAGATGGAGCGGTTGGAAAGGTGAATGAGTCTGGCTGCCATATTCAGGATCAACTGAAGCGGGGATACCCAGCGGCGAGGCAGGCCAGTAAGGAGGGAGTTGCAGTAATCGAGTCGTGATATGAGGGAGTGGATGAGCTGTTTAGTGGTTTCAAGAGTGGAGGAGGTCGGAAAGTTAGCAGGGGGTGGGGTGGCTCCATCTCCCGGCAAGTGAGAGAGATGGAGCCACCTACAGCATGCAGGGAGATACTAGAGCCAGCTGGGTGCTTCAGCTTAATACAGCAACAAAAGTAAGACATGTGGAAGATGGTGGAACTTTTGAGGAGGGGGGGGAGAAGATGGGGGCAGTGGAGGTGGGGATCTGTGCAGAGGTCAGAGCTGAAGAGGGGTGAAAGTGAGATGCAGATGAGGGATGCAGAAGTAAGCAGCTGTAGAAGAAGGATGAACTCTGTACTTTGTATGTAGCACACCCCTGAACTCTGCACTATATACATAGCACACCCCTGAACTCTGCACTCTGTGTATAACTCCCACCCACGAACTCTGCACTCTGTACATAATGAATTCTTGGTATTCACTCACTGTTGGTGACATTTGATCACACTTACTAACTGATGCAGTTTGGAGGGTGTGTGAGTGTAGGGGGAGGGGGTTTTGGGGGGATCATGATTGAGTTCCTGGACCTATTTTCTGAGAAAAAAATCCCTGGCCAGTATTAAGAAAATACAGAAAACTGTTACTTAGCTGTAAACTGATATGGGCTATATATTTGAAACATGGTAAACCTGCTTTTTTCATGGATAGTATTCAGATATGATAGTCAGTAAAGATATTTAACAATAACTGATGTTCCAAAAGGTTTAAAACAGCGTGATACTATTATTCAGACACAGATGAAATGTTTAAAAGAAAGAAGATAAAAGGGGATTCATCAATTTATTTTCCTCTCTGTGTGATATACTGTACAGTATATACATGATATAAAATGGGTATAATACAGAGTCAATAGAACAAACACTACAAGAAACGACTGTAATATTTCTAAAGGTGCACTTAGTGTTTAAAGCCCAATTGAACCTTCAGTTTAAATGAGTTAAATACATTTTAGATGCATCAGAACATTTGTGTTCATAGGCCTTTTTCTCATTGATCCTGCTACTAACCCGCAATCTGTGGTGGATGGCATTGTCAGCAGCAGCTGGTCCAGAGTTAGCATGTCATCAGGAGGTGATGTACCATCTGCCACACACTTGTTTGAAAAGGGATTTCACACACTCACACTCTTCACCTCGCCACAACCGCATCCACTGGACGTGTTAGCATATATTTTGTGACTGGGTTGCCATTTACCTGTTAAATGTAACATAATTGTATATGGAATACCTACAGCGCAATGGATAACCTATCTACCAAATATTGCAGCTAACATGTATTCTGTTCCCACCTATAAATCATCAACAAAAAACTGCAGCGCAATACTATGAACTCGCAAATATTGCTAAGTAATACAAACATACATATGTGAATATTGAAACATAAATCTTACTGCTTGACAATATTATTAAAATGAATATATACCCATATCTGTGCATAAACTGTGCTACATATAAAGTGTATCCAAACCCAAACAAATCCTCTCAATAGCGAACCATTCCTTTATTTCTTCCCGTTCTTCACATGTGCTGATGCACCATGTCTCCTGTGCATCTTATATCATATATCATCAAAAAGTGTCCCAATACTATGATAGCACAATCCTGGTGAACCGACCCTTTAACCTCCCTAGCGGTCGGATTATGTCCATATTTCTGTGCTCAAAGCTGTACATTTTTTTGCATGGAAATACTGTATGTATTTTTTTTATTGTAGGCCTGTAATTTTTAGGAATAACCGTCCGAACAAGAGTCTTGTAAGTATGTTAAAATTTGAAACACGAAATCATAAATTATAATTTAATAAATAATCATAAAAAATAATAATAAAATTTAATTCAATAATATAATCAAACCAAAAACACTGAAATTTGAAATAGAGCTCCAAGTTCGCACATCACTGAGCAAAGTTGCAAAATCGTTTTCAGTGTCTGACGAATTTCCCCACGAATCATTATCACTCAATTCTGCAAGTGGTTCTGATTTACTATCGCTGATCTCTGGCTGGCTTTTGACCTAAAGGGACGCCTTTTGGACACCATGGACTTTTCTAAGTTTCCAGGCAGAAAGAACAGTAAAAATGCAGGCAGGGCACAGGACAAAGCACTAGGGACAAAATGTATATGAAATGGTTTGATACAGTAATGTTATACTATGTGAGTTTAGTGATTTTAGCGAGTGTCACTTTTTGTCGTTTTCAAATTTCCCGCCGTTCCGTCCCCCGTATGTCCCGACGCTCGCAGGGGACGGAACCCAGATGACAGATGCTGGCATCCGCCAGATTCTATTGCTGGGGACACTGCAGGAGGGACATCGCGGGAGCGCAGGACAAGGTAAGTGATCGAGGGATCCCGGAGCAGCGCTGCAGGGTATTCCCAATTGTAGCTCGGGGTTACCGCTTGTGGTAGTGAAACTTTACCCTGAGCTACACTCGGGAATACCGCCAGAGAGGTTAATACCATTGTGCTCCAAGTGCATATGTGCAATCACTCCACTGCGTATATTCATCCAGTGCTTCTGTGTGACCCCCCCAGTGCTTATCTACCTCCAACACACTTTTGCGCTCACCTTATGGTTTGACCTGAAAATTCAGGTCAAACTGCGCCTTTCCCTTTCACCCAAAGTGTGGGTATGCTGGTACACAGATCTCCTCCTCCTTCTGCACTTCTAAGCTCCAAAATGCTCCACAGATAAATGAAAAAAAATTCTCCAAATAGTGAAGTATATCAAAATTTGAAAAACTTTATTAAAATACTGTAAAATAGTGCGCTCACATTCATTTGTGTCCAACTGGGACACTACAGGATCAAGGACTCTCTATATAGTGTTTTTCATGAATGAACTGCATGGATCCCTTATTCAAGATGGCGGTACATGCACTTCCGGTTTTACAGCTTGACGTCATCGGCGTACCCTACTCATTATGTAGTGATTTGTTGAAAATGTAACATGTCCTGGTTTTTTTTTCTAGCGAAGTACAGCTTTGCAAACAAAGCAATGTGTATGGGGCAGTCCAATGGTCATTGCCTTATTATGACAGAAAGCTGGGTTGAGTTAAAAGCACAACTCAAATGCCTTTTTTTGACATCTGACAAAGGGCAAAAGGAGCTCTACCGTTCATTTTATTTCTCAGGCAGCCACAGATTTAGTATAAAAGTCTGCCTTCTTCCTGGGTGGAACCCTTGTTGCCTGTGTGGAAGCAGTAGCCTAGCATGCCTCCCCCCCCCCCCCCCCCAATGAGTCAGAGCTATAGCTCAGCATTAAAGAAGGCATGCAGCATGGTGGTAGGACACATAGTTTACTCAGATATTGGTACTGCTTTTTTAACTTTTTAACTTATAACTACAGCTACAGGGTGGCAGGGCTGCGCAAAATCATGTATATGTACATGATTTTGCATATCCGGGTAGGGGGCGCGCCATTGGCGGTTAGAGATGTCAATCACCGAGCACGTCCAGAGGGTAGTGATAAATAACGTATATTCTGAATGGTCTGGAGTTTTAAGTAAGGTACATCAAGGCTCTGTCCTGGTACCAATACGGTTTAATTTGTTCATAAGTAATATACTGTAAAGGTTGGTATACATAGTTCAATCACAATGTTTGCTGATGGTACAAAGCAGGGTTATAACTTCACAATAGGATATATAAATTTTATAGGAAGACCTCAATAAAATAAAATGATGGGCAACTACATGGCAAATTAGGTTTAGTTATAAAAAAAATGTAAAGTAATGCACCTGGGAGCTAAAAATATCAATGCGTGTTACTATCTAGGAGGATAACCTCTGGGGAAATCTATCAATGGTGATTCTAGCATAGGAAGTAAATTATTTAGAATCAGGTTGCTTAATAAGACATGGGGTCACTCAATGAATTTGGATTAAGAACCTTAAACTGCGTAAGGGATTTTTTTAGTGTCAGAGTGGTAAGGATGTAAAAATGGCCTTCCACAGTTGGTGGTGTCAGCAGGAAGTGGCAATAATTTAGCGAATGCAAAATACAGGGATATGGGAAATGGCAGGGATAAAAAAACACATAAAACACACACACACACCCACAAAAGTTGAACTGGAAGGACTGGTGTCTTTATTCAACCTTACCAACTATGTAACAATGCAAGTTGCAAATTTGTTTCCCTTGATACTACCTATTTAACCTTGAACACTGACACAAGCAAACCCCAGAGTTTATACATTTAAAGTAGATCTAAAGCCAGTTATTAAAATCACATTAAGTTTTAAAATGTTAAAATCTGCATTTCATTAAAATAATTCCTGGTGATCCTGCCATGAAGTTCCTTGTTCAAGTACATCCTATTATGGGATGACAACTCTCTCCCAACTGTGATTGTGCTCTGGTGTTATAACCCTGTCACAGTCAACTCTGATGGACACTACATTGTACTGATGGACACTACATTGTACCAACACATCTATTGTCCACCACTGTCACTATCAGGAAGCCAGTCCAGTCAGTGATGGAGCAAGTGCAGTTAGATAGAATTGGTTAAAAAAGGCTAGAGAGAATCAGCAACACAGACTTGCAATTAAAAGGATGAAAAGAAAATGTAAAGGTATTTTATGGAAAATTTGACAATTGTTTATGATGTACTGTGCTTTAGCAAACTAAAAGTCATCCATTTAAGGTTTAGATCTACTTTACATGAAATTCTGTTTATAAGGACTTAGTTTTTATCCTTGACCACTGTATTTTCCTTGTATATTTTTGAAAATCTAGTCTATAAAGACCTAATTTCCAAACCTAATTTCTGTGTCTCACAAAAAAGTTTTCAGCTAGATCAAATGGAAATGTTATGTGAATGCCAATAACGCTGCAACCACATTTACTTGAAATCCCCTTTATCCCCGTTGCTCTCTGCGCCAACTAAATACACACCCATAAGAGTTCATTTTTTCGGCAACTTCTAAGTTGCTTTTAGACCCTTGTTATGATTTCACCTGCTTTTTAAGTGTGTAAAACAAAACTACATTTTTAAGTGTGTAAAGCAAAACTACCTTTTAAAGTGTGTAAAACAAAACTATCCAAAATTTAAACTAAGTAAAAACCAAGTCCTCAATCCCTCTAATAACAGAAGCACTGAAACCACTTGTTTACTTTCTATTGCTGCAAAAACCTGGCAGGCTGCCAGTCTGCTTGTAAGCTGCTGGAAACCAACTGAACCCCTGAAACATTAAAGAAGAAAAGATATGTGGGATGTTTAAGGTGCAAACGTTCCCTCAGGATAAACACACAAAGACATTTAGTCTATTTGTAAAAACAATGGTATCACAGCTCTTAAGTGCAATCAACCCCAAACCACCTTCCTTGAGAGTATAGAATGATGAGATGATTGTAGACTTGATAAGCTGACTGATATATTCGGAAGGTGGTAGATCGAAACACATTTCCCCGGGTAGGCTTCTTCAGGGGTTCAAATACGGGGAAAGAAAGAGCACTACGCTGGTAGCTGTCCGCCTAATGTAGGTAACCCACAGGGAAAGGAACCAGAAAGATGAGATAGGATCACTGGATACTCAGTTACTTCCTTACCAGGAAGCCAAAAGATGACTCAAGTGGGAGAGATGTCCATTCAATCAGAGGAGGAAAAATGGCCCTCCCAGATGTACTGTAGTTACCCTTTACAATGGCTATTTTGGCCAGATTCTCTTACAAAGGCTGATGATTATTGGGTGGTTGATCTTCCCCAAAATAGGCTTGAGCTGTGTGTGCTAGATTCAGTAAAGTGTCAGATGATGGCCGTGTGTCCCCCTTGATGGTGAAGTCTGATGATGTGTGAGGGTCCAGATGAGGTGATCCAGATGATTTCTGTGATCAAGTATGTGTCCTTCAGATGACCTCTATCCTCAGATTATGTGTGTCTTTATTTTATATTGTGACAATTTAGTAATAAAACACGCCATAGGGTGACCCAGAAGGTGTAACCTTATTCCTATTGGTGGATTTGTTTAATTATTAAATTATGTGCTTACTTATACATTCTGTCAGGAACATGGCTATGACCAGAGACGTGTGGACTGACATAGGGAACACCAGGCTTCAGGAATAATGAAAATACCATTTATTTGTGAGACACAGTAACAACGCACAGTGCAAACAACAACAACTCAATACAAACTCTACACCCAATACAAACACAAACAGCAACAAGAGTAGTGAGGCCAGCCGGGGTCATACACGGGAGATCAACCATTTGAAGCAGGGGAAGCCGGGACACAGAGCAGGTAGCAGGTTTAGCAAGAAGCAGGTAACAGGTCAGCAGGTAACAGGAGCACAGGGACAACACCAAGGCACTGATCGCAGGCCTGGTTGCTGTTTAAATACACCTCCTGCAATCAGCCTCAGGTGATAGCTTGATTGCAGGAGGTGAGATCCTAGCTGCTGAACGGCACTCTCTGGTAGGAGCTGGTACTGCATCCCACAGAGCAGGTGAGCCACAGCACCACCATTGGTGAGCCCTTTCCTGACACATTCTCTCTTTTGGTGACAAGGTGGCATCCTAGGATAAGAAATTTCTATCCTGAGTTTGTTTGGGGATTTCCTGGTGATTATCCCTTATATACTAAATTCACAGCTACAATTATGTCAGTTTCTCTAAAATATATTGAACGCCTCGGAGTCCTATTTTATGGTATCAATTAAATGGAAAATGTCAACTATAAGGCTATATGGAGGTAGAATTTCATATATAACGATTCAAATATTAGTTATACACAGAGAAAATAAAAATAAATATATATATATATATATATATATATATATATATATATATATATACTGTATGTATACATACATATACACCGTATTTTTCGCTCCATAAGACGCACTTCTTTTTCCCCCCAAATAAGGGGGGGAAATGTCAGTGCTTTATGGAGCGAATATGGAGCAGACGGTCCGATATTCCCACCGCCGCCGCCGTGTCAGAATACAAGGCCGGCCACTCGTCTCTTCTTTGCAGTAGAACCTTACCTGTTCTTCGGTGCAGTGCTGTACAGTCTTTCCACGCTGGTATCTTTAGTGTGGGCTCTCGGCTGTGACAGCCGGGTGCCCACTGCGCATGCGCGAGACGCGCAGTGCTTTGTGAATGGTACGGCCTCTTCTGGGACTCATGACAGGTCCCAGAAGATGCCGGACCAATCACAAAGCGCAGCGCTTCTCGTGCATGCGCAGTGGGCACCCGGCTATCAGCCAGGTGCCCAAACTAAAGGGAGGACAACTGTCAAATTCAGGTACCCACTCCCCCTCCCTCCCCAAAGGTCTGCAGTCTCTTAGTCATCCCCTGTACTGTCCACAGTCTTTGGTCATCCCCTGTACTGTCTGCAGTCTCTTGGTCATCCCCTGTACTGTCCGCAGTCTCTGGTCATCCCCTGAACTGTCTGCAGTCTCTGGTCATCCCCTGTACTGTCTGCAGTCTCTGGTCATCCCCTGTACTGTCCGCAGTCTCTGGTCATCCCCTGTACTGTCCGCAGTCTCTTGGTCATCCCCTGTACTGTCTGCAGTCTCTTGGTCATCCCCTGTACTGTCTGCAGTCTCTTGGTCATCCCCTGTACTGTCCGCAGTCTCTGGTCATCATTTCCTGTACTGTCCACAGTCTCTGGTCATCTCCTGTAGTACGTATGCAGTCTCTTGGTCATCTCCTGTACTGTGTCCGCAGTCTCTGGTTATCTCCTGTACTGTGACTGCAGTCTCTGGTCATCTCCTGTACTGTGTCTGCAGTCTCTGGTCATCTCCTGTACTGTGTCCGCAGTCTCTGGTCATCTCCTGTACTGTGTCCACAGTCTCTGGTCATCTCCTGTAGTACATCCACAGTCTCTGGTCATCTCCTGTAGTACGTCCGCAGTCTCTGGTCATCTCCTGTAGTATGTCCGCAGTCTCTGGTCATCTCCCGTACTATGTCTGCAGTCTCTGGTCATTTCCTGTACTGTGTCTGCAGTCCATTGGTTCAGAATATTTTTTTTCTTGTTTTCCGCCTGTAAAACCTAATTGCATCTTATGGTCAGGTGCGTCTTACGGTATATATATACACACATAAAAATTTGCATACTTAAACTACTTATTTGGGTATAACTACAGTATCATACACATGATTTCTAACAATAATGATGAAGATGATGAAGACTCCAACACACTAAATATATCACAGGATTATAACTTCCCTTTCAGTCCACCTTCAAATAATATGATATTTCATCCCAGACATATGCATTTGAATGGACAAGCATCTTAATACTTACGATTCTTTTAGTCTAAAATGTTCCAAAAATATCAAGTTTTGTCAATAAAATCCTAAAATATTTAATTTTTTTTTTCTTTGGCTTCAAGTTACATAGTTAGTCCGGATGAAAAAAGACAAAAGTCCAAACAGTTCAACCATAGAGAAAAAAAAAAGTTATAATCCTATACCTATATAGTTGGTTTTCAAAGTTTCTTGTATGTTGACTTATTGATCAACAGCTTCCCACAGAATGTCCTTCAGACTTTGTAACAATAGAGGAGCTATCCTTGACTGAAATATACAAAGACGTTGATTTTGGTTTACCTGTGAACTCCATGATTTCCTACATTGCCGAAACAATGAAATCTCAGCTAGACTAGAGGATTTTTGTACTACTGGTTTATTTTGTTTGTGCAGGCAACTTTCCCATTGTTCATGCACTGAGAGGTATTCTTACTTTCATTTGTTCTCTATATACTACTTCAGTTTGGAAAAATATTGTCTCTCATGGGAACTGAGACCTGAAAGCGACCCTTGTCTCTTGGGGCTTATTTGGTTTAAAAACCTCCGTGGTTCAAACCAGTGAAACAATGAAAATCGGGGGGGGGGGTTTCCTCGTAGAAATTCTACCACCTTGCAAAGTCAACAATCTATTATCTCCAATGCAATAATCTGTATAGTGAAGTAAAACTAAATATTTTTACATAATAATGACAATTGTGCCACCCAGCAGGAGACCCAGGACATGTTCCCTACATGGCAGAACCTAGCGAGATCATTGTTACCGACTCAATATAACATTCAGCAATATACAAAAATGTAATAGTACTCTGTTTTATCAAGCAAAATGTAACTTTGGAGATAAAGGCATGTAATGTTTTGCACTGGTGGAAGTTAGACATTAGGAATTCAAGTAAGATAACTTGTGGGGAAGTGATTAACACGGTGAGCAGTAATTACATGCATTATTGGTTGGCTGGGATGTGGTAATGTTTATTATGTATCATGCTGAGTTAATTAGAGGCATGGTACGCCAATACACTAATTAGAAATTTAAATACTTTGCCTTGTTGAGTGCATACAACTACAATTTTTTATTATTTTTGACTTTTTGATGACTATACAAAAATATTATCACATATAAAAATATATTATGTATGTATGTGTTAACAATAAAGATCACATGCAGGTGCCTGCAAAGAATGTTAATGCAAATAAAATATATTATAGAGGGTTTCTTAAAAAAATATATCATTCAATGTAAGAGACACTTGTAAGCATCTGTGTTGCACCTGTCTTCTGTTTATCTTGGCTGAAAAGAGATCTGATCACTTAGATATAATAGTATATACAAAGTTCATAACTCCTGATGGGCAGCATTGTAATACCTTAAATACAAGTTAAAGATCATCTGACTCTATGAAAAAAAAGGCCCACTGCTGAATACCAGCAGCAGCTTCAAAAGACCTAATCTTGCCAATACCCAATCCCATCACATTGTGCTTGGTCCCTCACCATGATGGACTGTTTCACTGGTAGGAATGCAAACAGTTTTACAAATCTTAAGCTGGACATACACTACTAAACATTTGCTCAAAAATGTTTATTTTAAGAAACTGTGTTTGATTCTCTAACCATTAGTAGGGTCAAATTGGCATTCACTTTCAAACGCAGTGACGAGAACATTTGAAGGAGTAAGGTGAAAATGTTTGCTTCAATGAACACTTTCCTAACAGTGTATTTGATTTTCAATTTGGAAAGTCTATTCATTCCAAAATCTAATTTTACAAGCAAAGAAAAACTTGAAGTACTTTTGAAAAACATTAATCAAGTCATCAAATGTACAGATAATACTCATATGAATGTTCATATGAAGTTTTGTTTAAACATTCATTTGAAAATCTACTAGCTTATGTCCAGCTTAACTCAGTTTGGAGTTTGCAAACCCCACGGAAATCTATGGGGGATGAATCTTGTTATTCCAGTCTGATCATTCTAACTTCCTACAAAAAATTGTCAGTTGTCCCTAACAGATCCAGCACACACTGACAATATAGCTGCTCTTTTATAATAAAGGGACTGGTTTATCCCATTCTTCAAGTTATTGGCAGTTCTGACTCAGCTGACCAGGGCAAAGATGATGCATTATCTTGCAAGCTGTCCCGTATTTCTGATGGGGAACATGCAAAGTTATCATTGGAGGATTCTTGCGCATCCCAAAGGTACGCCACAAACAGATGGTAGCAGTGAACCTCAATTTCATCCCTACTTACTGGTCAAAAGGAACATGATGGAAGTTGGACAGGTAGGAAGATTTTTACTGTGCTTTGCCTAGCCTTGAAGCTGCTGTGGTTATTTGTGAGCATCTCTAGGTGCTTTCACTTTATACCTGCAGCAGCTTCTTTTAGTTTTTATCTAGAGGCCAAGTCTACTATAATTCTTAGTTGTGTATCCAAAACTTGTAATTTAAAATAGCAGATCCCTAGGTTCAACAGAATACATGGCCTTCTATTTAACATAAAAGCAGATGTAAAAGTATCCATGGGGATTTTAAGCCCAACTGAACCATCAGTTTGAATCACCTAAATGCATTCCAGATATATCAAAACAAGTTTACTTACAGTTTGATTTCTTTCTGAAATAGCCACAGCCTGAATAGAAAAGCCTGTTTGTTGGCAGAAGCTGCAGAGTGGGACTGTTGCCCTCTTTGTGGAATCAGTGGTCTCTTGGCACAGGTCTGACATGTCCCCTACCAAGTATGATCATAACCTCTCCAACCATCAAAGCTAATGTTGTCCGCTGATTGGAGAGTTCTCTAAAAAGATCACTCTTCCTCGCTGAGAGCAAGAGTCCCACTCTGCAGCATGCTGGCTGGCTTTTTTTAAAGTAAACAAACTGAAATACTTTGCATGCTTTTTGTTTTGAAGCACCTAGAATGTGTTTTGCTAATTTTTACTGAAAGTTCAACTGGTCTTTAAAAAAATGAAAATTTCCTTCAGCATTTTTGAAAATGACCAGAGCCTCCATTCTCATGTGACAATTCCCATGAGAACCATCCCCATTCATTTCTATCTTGAAACGGGGCAGCTCATTTGGAGTGAGAGGAATATACACTGCATTTTCTAATGCCTGTCTGACATTGTCCTTAGTACAGTATATCAGCCCCATCTGTTTTTCATTGCATAGAAAAGAGATCTGAGAGCCTCTTAAAATGATCAGGGTACTTCATGAACCAATAATAAAAAAAAATTAATGGGATTGATTTACTAAACAGGCAGATAGACTGTTCACTTTGCAAGGCAGTTTGCAAGGGAATAATCCAAGTGTAGGGAAGGACGTGAAATTTCACATTGCAAAGAATACCCAATCACAGGGAAGGGTAAACTTTAAAAAAGTGTTTGGTTATTTTGCACATGATTAGATGATAGAAGTCAGCACAACTTTATTACATTCACTAATCTCTAAGGAAAATCCCCTTGCAAAATGCAAATTCCGGAACAAAGTGAACAGTCTAGTTGCCTTTAGTAAAGCAACCCCAATGTGTCAGAATACAAATCTGTAGCAGGCATTCTACTAATAAACTGCCCAGAAGACCACATAAATTATTATTCTTTGAGTGGGAAGGAAACAGTGAACTGTATAAAAAAATCAGTTTATAAAAAGCAGAGTCACTACTGGTAGCTTCGAAAATAGAAAAAATATTACTTAAATAAATTGTTAAATAAAAATAATACTGGACAAATATCCTTAAAACTTTCCAGAGATGTTTTCCTTTTTATAATTTTGGAAATTTTTTCTATTTTGGACATTGTATTTATGCCTGAGGCAGCACATTATATAAGTTGTTATACACTAAAAATGTATTATTCACCTTTAAAATATGATTCACTTTCTCACACAATGAAAAATGGATGTGGGTATTAGATAAATATCCATTTTGCCATTTGGGAGAGAACAATGCTATTTTTAGTAAATGTTTAATAATCCATCTTAATATCCACATCTAGTCAATCCAGACCAGATGTTTGTGAATCTGGGAGTTCTTTAACTTTAGTGAAAAATTCAGCAGGCGGTTAAACCTCAGAAATCAAAATAAAGATCGGTGATGGTTATATAACTAGAACATGTAAATGATAACTTTAAATGAACACCATTTGTAGTCTACATATTAATGTAAATATTTTATAAAACAAATGTTTTGGACACCATTTACAGAAATAAGTAGAAACATTTTAGGAGAGTTATTTTACTATAATATATAAAACATTAAAAAAAGTATCACTTCCATACACAATGTACCCGGGCATATTTTGTTTGTCAATTCAGAATGTTTATTCATATTGTGCTGGGGGTTGATAAAAGGGGCTCACACCAATATACTACATGATACAAAGAGATGCATTTGAGAAAAGGAGCTGTCTTGGGAGAGCACATTATTAGAGCAGGTTGCAGTCAGGTATACCATAAGAAAATCGGCCTTTTGGCTAAGATCAAGTGTAGTATCTGTTCTTATCAGTGTCCAGTGGGGGTGCTCCCGACCATTCTAGCTTTGCGGGGATGGTTGTTGTATAGTACCCTCACTGGAATGATGGGGGTCCGGAAGGCTAGTACCGGAGGGACAGAAACCGGGGAGCGCCACGAGTTAAGCTGGGGCCCCGGGAGTAAATCCTCTGGGAAGACTGGAAAGACCCAGTACCTCCTGATTTGAACAAGCTACCTTGGTCTGGCCAGGGGCTGGGGAGGCAAAAAGTCCGCAAACTCAGTGCCCCCTGGGGAGACGCGCTCAGGGGTGTCACTAGTAACACTTGGGTGTGGGACCCCACGGTGTGAAAATGACACTTGGTCACTGTTTTTACACTCCTTTTTGCACAGCGCCCTAAGGACCAGGCCTTTTGGCTAAGTCCAGGGCAATTTTTGCTACGGGCCTCAGGGCCTGGTCTGTGCACGATTCGGCACGGTACCATTTTTTTATTTTTTCTTTCTCTTATTTATTATGCACTTACCCACGTTTGTCACTTTTTCTTTGCCTTATGTGTGTGTTTTTCACGGATGGAGGGTGTGGGTCCTCGGGCCTACCCTGAAGTCTAGGGGGAGGATGTGTGGCCATACGGTTCGTTCCTCCCCTGATCCCTAGGAGGCTCTTCTTCGGGAGAGCCTCCTTGCCTAGTACTGGATGCCCGGCTTCGGCTGGGCATAGGGAACGGTGGTCCACCAGGCCTTTTGGCCAGGAGGACCAATTGGGAACCTTGTCCCCGTCAGGAGCTTCGTGCCCCGGGGGATCAGGGTAAGCGGTCCAAGCCCCTTTTGGGGTAGGACACAGCACACCCCTAAGTGCACTTTTTCGTGTGGTGTTTTGCACTTGCACTTTTTTTGTGAACACTTACGGGTTTTTTTCGTTATAGTTGCACGTTTGCGGACTTAAAAAAAAAAAAAAAGAAGAAAATGTTGTTTGAGTACACATTCCCTGCACACAGTGGAGGAGATATTGCTAACCCTTGTCATGCCTGAACCAGCCAAGTTGGCTCTGGTGCCCAAGAAGGGCTCCAAGAAAGCCATGACCAAGAACCAGAAGAAGGATGGCAAGAAGAAGAATAAGAGAAAGAAGGAGAGTTATGCCATCTACTGTACATGTAGAAGGTGCTCAAGCAGTTCCATCCTGACATCCAAGCCCATGAGCATCATGAACTACTTTATAGAGGTGGCGGAAGCACAGATCCACAGAATGAATGAAGCAGATCCTGATATTGCAGCCCCTCATGTACTGCATTCTCTCCAGCAAGGAAAACATTATGGTGCATGGTAGTAACATCACCAAATTTAATTCCAAATCTTGCAAAACTACCAGTCTGAGGCAGCAGGGCCTAGATGATTTCACACCGTAAATATACAGCTATAAGGCTTAAAGTTGTATAGTAAACTCCCATTTGGCACTTGTACCTACAGGTAAGCTTATAATAAAGCATACCTGTAGGTACAAGGAATATCTCCTAAACAAGCACCCTTTAGGAGTTTTTCTGTGCCTCTGCATACTCATGCCATTCCTTCAGAGCTCTGTGCCACTGCCGAGACTCCAGCGTGCTTACACAGAAGTGTAATCCTACACCCACAGTTGATCCAGAGGAAGCAAAAAAAACCCCAGTAAAGCATGATCCAATTTGCTCCTGCACGGAAAAACATTCCTTCCTGATCCCCCGAGAGGCAATCGGATATTCCATGGATCAACTTTACCTATAAATGTTAGTATCCAGTTATATTCGGTGTATCTAAGAAAGAATCCAGGCCTTTTTTAAAGCAATCCACTGAGGTGGCAAGAATCAACTCTTGAGGGAGTCTATTCCACATTTTCACAGCTCTCACTTTGAAGAAACCTTTCCGTGTTTGGAGATTACATTTCTTTTCTTTCAGATGTAAAGAGTGCCCCCTTGTCCTCTGTGATGACCCCAGAGTGAATAACTACACCGAGTTCACTATATGAACCACTGATGTATTTATATATGTTGATCATATCCCCCCTTAAACTCCTCCTCTCAAAAGAGAATAAATTCAGTTCCTCTAATCTTTCCTCATAGCTAGCTCCTCCATGCCTCTTATCAGTTTGGTTGCCCTTCTCTGTACTTTCTCTAGTCCCCCAATGTTCTTTTTGTGAATTGGTGGCCAAAACTAAACTGCATATTCCAGATGAGGTCTTACTAATGATTCATACAGGGGTAACGTGATCTCTCTCTTTCTGGAGTCTATACCTCATTTAATACAAGAGAGGATTTTGCTCGCTTTAGAAACCGCAGCTTGGCATTGCATGCCATTATTAAGCTTGTGATCTACCAGAACTCCCAGGTCCTTCTCCACCATTGATTCCCCCAGTTGTACCCCCCCCCAGTATGTATGATGCATGCATATTCTTAGCCCCCAAGTGCATAACCTTACATTTAATAACATTAAACCTCATTTGCCACATAGCTGCCCAATTAAACAGTGCATTGAGGTCGGCTTGTGAATTGAAGACATCCTGTAAGGACATTATTCCACTGCATAGCTTGGTGTCATCTGCAAAGACTGAAATGGGATTTTTAATCCCAGACCCTATATCATATATAAATATATTAAAAAGTAAGGGTCCCAACACTGAACCTTGGGGTACACCACTGACAACACTAGAACATGCAGAGTATGAATCATTAACCACTACTCTTTGAATACTATCTTTTAACCAGTTTTCTATCATTTACATAAGGATTTTTCCAAGCCCATAGACTTTACCTAACACATTAGCCATCTGTGGGGAACTGTTTCAAACGGTTTTGCAAAATCCAAGTATACCACGTCCACCGCCACCCCTCTGTCCAAGAGTCCCTAAAAATTAGAAACAATGGCTTTGAAATGAAAGAGCTCAATTCTTTAAGGACCAGCGGGTGTATGCCATCTGGTCCAGGTGCTTTATTCATCTTTATACTGTCTAAATATTTTTGGATCATATCTATTGTAAGCCAATGTGGATAATCTGGAGCTGTGTCAATACTGCGAAATCATCACAACTCGGCCATTCAAGCGGCCAGAGCCCGCAAACCCGGAAGGAAGACTGGGTGAAGATGAAAGCCCTGTCAGGGCTGACAGCGTGCCACTGGAGGGCTTCTTTTCAAGGTATGTCTTTCATAATGTGCTAGTATGCGATTCATACTAGCACATTATGCCTTTACCTTGCAAATAGAAGTTTTTTTTTTTTTTTTTTTAAGTTTACTACCACTTTAAGGCATATGAGTTTCTAAGCACAGTATTCACACTGATATTTTTCAAGACTTCAGGTCCACTTTAAAGCCTAAGTTTAGCCAAAAATTACAAAAAAAATCAGTGTTAGTTACAGTACTTATAATCAAAGCGAAGTGTCCCATGTACTGTTGGCTCACTATTCCCATCTACTCCACAGCTGTAATCTTCTGGTATTGCAGGGGTTAATGAGAGTCGAAGGGCCTGTCATATGCACTTATCAGGAGCGCCAACTACAGTATGCCTGTCATTTCCACTCCTCTCCTTCATTTTTAGAAGCTGTTTTATAGTCTTCATGAGAGAAAAGCACTTTATAAATGTAGGATGGAAGGATGAATGAAAGGTTTACTTCCTCCATTCATGCATGATAATTTCATTCATGGAAACTATAGAACAGCTTATATTAACTTCTGCAGCACTGGGAGATTACAGCTGCAGAGGAGGGGATCAACTAAATTTCAACTAATTTCGACATGATTTCATTCATGGAAGCTATAGTACAGCTTATACTAACTTCCACAGTACTGGAAGATTATGGCTGCAGAGAAGGGGATCAACTAAAATCCTTAGCCAGCAACAGAATGGACAGTTCTCATTGATTGTAAGTATGGTCCAATGTACCAGTTAAAAAAAAAAGTCTAAACTTATGCTGTAAAGAAGCCCTAATAAAGAACTGAATTATAAAAGGGGCTGTATTGGAGAAATACATTGTAAAAATGGCTGCCTTGGGGTACCGCATAAAAAAGAGGTTGCATCAAAGGACCGCATTGTTATCACAAATCAATTGCAATGATAACACATCCTGAAAGTATATTTTTATCACTCAACTATCAAAAATCCATGGACAATACAGGCAGTTTTGCTAATACAATTTACATTTGGGTATTTATACGATAGAATTACTAAGAAAGGCAAACTACAACAAAGAGCAAGATATAAAAAAAACAGTTACAGCAGAAAAAAGCCACTATCCAATGTAATTTTTGACATGAGAAATGAAAATAAGGAACTAAAGCCTAAGACTGTACACTTGCCCTGAAGGTAAAAGTTGCAAAAGACAGAATACCACAGGGAAGAAGAGAAATGAATGATGAGGTTTATTCTGAGCTGGAACAACCCTCTCGTGAGATCCAATTTACTAAAAAAAGGTATGAGCTACCCAGAAATAGGTGAAAGGCTAATGAAGAGTTCCCCATACTCCAGATTTATATTATTTTTGGCAATATTTCAGGGAACTAGCCTCACAGTGGAAATTTAATCTATTCTGCCAATAAAAATGTTCTATTATGAAAACTTAAAGGACAAAATATTAAGAGAAGAAAATTCTTCCACTTTAGAAAGAAATAAAACAGTAGAAACAAGACATGGCACAAATTTCCTTGTTTTTTTGTCATTTTTTCCTTCTGAAACACAGTTTACCATCTAGGTGTGTCAACAACAGCCTAAATATAACCAACTGCCCTCTCAATAATGCTCAGTATCTTATTTTTCCTATGTGATTATATCTATAACCATGCTAACCACTTACCAATACTTATTCCATTTATATTCTTTATACTATATATGTATTTATATATTTACGTTGTATATATTTCAATAGTTATGCATATTATATTTGAAAAGTGTTTAGTAATATCTAGAACAATAATGTATAGCTATACATTCTAAAAATGTTAAACACATTGTGGGGCTTTACATGATACTGATGTAATGCCCTCCAGGTTAGCTAGAGTTTGTTGTTTTTTTTAGATAGAGGCTGAGTAGCAGCCTGGGATGAGTCAGCCTGGAAGTGACACAGGAGTTCACATCAGGACAGGCTGGGAGGCTCTAACAGGTCAGGGCTTCTGGAGCCTTCCCACCTCTCCAGAAACTGAAGAACTTTGTGGAAGAGGGATGGGCGAGGGGAGGAGGCCCAGATCTGCATGTTTGAGAGACCTTGGCCAATCCCCTGGCAGGAGGCTGGGCATGGTGACCAGGGCAACCCTCAAATGTGGCAGAGCCTGGAGGGAGGTGTGCAGCATCAGGTGGAAGATGGGCAGAGGAAGGCTGGAGTGGGCCCCAGGGAGGGGAGCCTACCTACAGGCTGGTCGCTAGAGAAGAGGATCTCCATGGCCTCAATTTTTTCTGAAGAGGACAGCCTGTGTAGAAGGGAAGGAGCCAGCCCAGCATAAGGCTTGAAGGCAGCCACCAACCCACTAAGCTAACAGGAGAGGACAGTGTGAATACTCTTACACCCCCTGGGCCAGATAAGGGGAGAGGGCAGTCAGGTGCAAGACCCAACTAGCTTCTCATCTGGGACTGTTTTAAATTGACAGCTCTTAGGCCCTCTTGCCCAGGGATACCCTCAGGCAGTTGGGTGAAGAGAAGGAATCATCCAGGGTCTGAGGAGGTACACTAGAAAGCCTTTAGTGCTCTTCAAGGAGAGACTGTTGCTATCTGCATTTTTGTACATAATTGCTAATGAGTTGTCCTCACGTTCTACAGTTCCTTGGGATCCCATATACCCCTAGAACCCATCCAAGTTTAACCCCTAATAAAAAAGTACAAGACCAAGCTGAAGGACTGTTGCTGGATATTCTTTTTTGGACCATTCTCTGTAAACCCTAGAGATGGTTGTGCATGAAAATCCCAGTAGATCAGCAGTTTTTGAATATACTCAGACTAGCCCATCTGGCACCACCAACCATGCCACTTTCAAAGTCATTTAAATTCCCTTCCTTCTCCCATTCTGATGCTTGGTTTGAACATCAGCAAGTCGTCTTAACCACTTCTTCATGCCTAAATGCATTGAGTTGCTGCCATGTGATTGGCTAATTAGCAATTTTTGTTACCAAGCAATTGAACAGGTGTACCTAATAAAGTGGCTGGTGGGTGTATGTGCATGACCCTTTTTTCAAAACCACCAAAATTTGTTGTAGTGCGCTGTGGTGCATTAGGGTCCACTGTACAATGCATTGGGATTCCATTCACAATGAATGGCACCACAACGCACCACACAAAGGGTAGGTTAATTTCCATGCGTTGTACTAACCCTTAAGATGT